ATAAATTTATATTGAAATTCATATATGTTATACTCTATATAGATTTTATATGTTCCTATAGAGATAATCCCTATAAAATTGTTATAATACATTTAAAAAAAATACAGGTAAGGACTATAATTTTTTATAGAATAATTATAGAAATTGTATATTTTTATTATAGAGAACTTGTCATATCATTTGTATAGATTATTCTATAGAATTTCTATAGAATATGCAAGATGTAAAACATGTTGGTAGGAATATACTGGTCAGACACGAATGTGTCAATAAAATATTGAATGAAACAAAACAAAAAATTAAAAACATAGAAATTACATTAAATATGTGTATATAGTATGTTATAGAATTCTATAGAAACTAGTGCTTCTATAAAACAATTTTATAGAAAATACTAATTTCTGTAGAAATTGATTAGTCTCTATAGAAGGTCTATACAGTTCTATAGAATTTTTTTGTATGGGAATGAAGGAGGAACAGACTTGCTAGGCACAAAACAACAGGAAAAATATTATTTATTAGGTGCATACACAGCATATCATTACAAAAATCCACTGCCAAATTCTTAAAATACCGCATAATCGCGGTTACTTCTGCTGTCTTCTCTTTGTCTCTTCGGTTTTGCTTCCCTTTGTTTTTAGGATATTTCTTGGCTTTTTTATTTTTTCTTCTTTCAAGACTTTGCGTATCAAGCACATAGAGACTGTCCATAATATGCGCTTTACAAATACACACCCATTAGCATTACCAGACAAGGCTTAAAATAGCAAATTACAATAGAAAAACAGGGGGTAGTCAGCTATACCCGCGACATACCAATTTTAGATTTTTTTAAATTTGTTTGTCTTATGTGCGGATCATCCGTAACATGTAACAAGACAGTCCTTGATTTATTTGTTTTAATTAATGCTTTTTTAATGCTGATACAATGAAATCCATGAACTTTGCCAAGCCTAGAACTTGGACTTATTATATGTCGCTTTGAAAGCTAAGTCTAAGTGCAAGTTTGGTCCCAGTGAATTGTATCTAAAGGAGGAATTCCGATGGTGAAACAGACAAGTCAGGGGGTCGCCTTACGTCCAACATACAAAAATGATCTAAACATCTTCTCAAAATTGGAGGTCGTTTTATAAGCGACCTAGCTAGGTATTTTGATATATACCTAGACCTAGCGCTGCTAGGCCTAGTACTACTACTAAACTAGGCCTAGCTAGGCCTAGTAGTAGTAAGATATGTCAAGCACTTTCCTGGTATGTATAGGCTAGGCCTATATATAGAGTAGTGCCTAGCTAGGCCTAGGATATCTGTGGTCACGTCAGCCCACTGAGCGAATGCATTGATCAAGGCTTACCTTCATAAACGTTAGAATTCTGTCGATGACTGGTTGCGGGTATGTTGGACGATATTTTGCATACAATTCAGCAACATGCAACCCTTCAAACAGTCGACGAGATGACATTGTTGAGCTTCATCTAGGCCTAGGCTAGGAGCTCAAGCTAGCACAACTCGACATTATGTTTATCGTAAAACGCATTCAAGCATATCCACTACATATCTAAAGAAGGTAAATATAATGTATGTATATATA